GTTCTGGGCTCAAATCCTGTTATATCGATATACATTTTTTATGACTAAAAACAGCTCCACTCTTTGACCTTCACTAAGAAACTTAACTGGCGTTTGTGGGAGATCTCCAGAAAAAAAAGCTCCATACTATATTAAACTGAATTTGGAGATTGTAGAACAAAAAAAATGTTCCAAAAATAAACTTTTTGTTGTCTTGCATCAAACTGAATTTGAAAATGCAGAGAATAATATTTTCGAAATTGAGAACTTTCTTGTCGTTAAGCATAAGAAATAATTTTGCCAATTAGTTTTTGATAGTTTGTTGCTATGGTATATTTAAACATACAAAAATACTTACAAATCTGACACATATCGGGACCTGCTCCCCAACATCTACCATTGCAACTTGCATGACAGTCATTACCTGTAAATAATCATAAGAAAAAAAATAACCAAATACATGAATTTGTATCATTATCATAATTATTATTATTAAATTTGTCTACTTTAATAGTTACAAACCTTCTTCTTACAAAACAAAAGTTAATGATACTTATGAATATCGATACAGAAGATATGGAAAGAAAAAAAGTTGGCTTTCAGTGCTCTGAAACGAGTAATTACAAAGACTACAGTTTATTATGGGGAAGGCTATTTCAAAGAACATTGGAATTGTTGAAAGTAGAATAATATTAAAACTATATGAAAGGTTATAAATATTTACACAAGATTCATTACATATTTATTATTCTTCATATAGCATCAACATCTATACAGAACTTCTTCACATGGGGTGGTCATACTTTGAGCTTCCTGAGTTTCCACATAACTAATCTACCAGTATATCTTGGGATCTCATACAGCTTTACCATGATAAATACTACTAAATGTAAAAAGAAATTCTAGCATGTAATATATAGGCCTATCAAAAGTCTTTCAAATTAATAATGATACAGTATTGTATATAGTGTTCTTTGAAATGACACCTTATACTTGCATAAACCAAAGACTGAATATTAAAAAAGAAGTTTTTCATATCATGGGCAGAAATCTGGAATAACCTAAATAATGTCCATCATTTTGCAACAACTGCTCCTAATATTTATACTTTTAAACAACTAATAAATAACTGACAGATTAAATTTTTTAAACAATGAATAAAAAAATTCTACTAAAAACTGTTCTACATTGTCATGACATCACTTTTTTAATCTTTATCCTTTTAAATGTTAGTTTCTTTGTACAGTGTGTATTTTAATTTGATTTTTTTTATACATATTTAAGTTTCTTCATTCTATTGGTATATTCTTGCAAAAACAGCCTTGTGAAAAACATAATAAGGTGATACAAGTTTTTTCTGTTTTAAAATAAAGTTATTATTTCACTTGATAATATTATAGGCGTTACCCTATCACAGAAACATGAATACCACGCCCATTCAACTGAATAAACATATTCCATCCTATTAATAATAATAACAATAACAATAATGCACCATTTACACAGTACATATTGCAATATAACTGCCTCTTTCTCTATGCGCTTTACATTAATATCTTGGTCACACCTATAAGTATATTCACATACAGCAAAAACTCATCTTATCAGCTTCATTACTTAATTGAACTTTGTTTAGAGACTCAAATCTCATAAATGTATCATTTGATTTTTTTTCCCCTTTTGGTTATTGGTCAAGACAAATCCAATTTACTCAGGCACTTTGTTTATATCCATACTAACATACCTTAGCACTAAATCGTGATAAATTGTTTGGAATGTCTCTAGGCGCATGGATAAGTGAGCTGAAGTTTTCCTTATCATTGGATTATCAGTCAAACATTGCTGTTCAGGTTCCATCCCTCATAAGCCGCATTCTTTGTATAGGGAAATGTTACTGCATCTAATAAACAGTTAATACAGATAGCAGGACTTGAAAGTCTTTTCAGTAATTACTCCTGGGTTAATAGGCATATAGAAATGCAATAACTCAAGCTTCATATCTTCTGCTTCACTTGTCTGTTTGAGCCATCTATATCCAGCAAAAAATAAACTCCAAAACACTGAATTGCTTTCTTAAGCAAGTTATTACCGCTTGGTAATTTAAACGAGAAAAAAAAAAAAAAAAAAAAAAAAAAAAAATTCTCATAACTAATTAACTGATGTATAAGTGATACGCTTTTTTATATTCTTTGAATTGGTCCTAAATTATCTGGTAATAAAATTTTAAAAAAGTCAGTGAAATGATTTGAACATTATAACTGTTTTCAATCAACACTTCTATTAAAAATCCAGAAAACATTTATAATTTCATAATCAGTTTTATAGCTGTTTCTTTTTGTTCATTTATGAGAATTTCAATCTAATTTAATCATATTTTTTACTTTTAACTTACACAATACATAATTCTCTCTACGATGGGAAGATTACAAGACAAAAGAAAATTAACAAACAAACTTTTAACAAACCAGCCATTAGGAGACACCAATTTAATTTTTCCTTGACATTCTACACAATGTTTAAACTTATTTCATCTAATACAAAGTGCCATTTTTCTGGACCTTCCCCCTTCCCTTCCTGCAAATGTTTGGATCCACCGCATACTGGTGTAGAAATAGTAATTCACTAAAAATCCTAGTGATTTGCATCCCTAACAGAACTATGTATCCAGGGTAAGACATATAACTTATATGCCAGCATTATAGCTATGGTAGTTATCTATCAAACAAATTTGATTGATTCAGACTCTGAATGAGGTAATGTATGAAATGCTGTGTACAGGTGTTAAGGAGAAGGAACTTGATGGTGTTTGCATCAGGAAAATATAATAGGAGTGATGTTTTGCTGAATACTCAGTACCTTCCAAATAATTGCTAGTTACAGTATCTGGAGGTTGTGGATTCAATTCCCACCAGAATATAAATACTTGCAATTTTTTTTCCCTACAAGTATTTGGGAATGTACCGAGTACTGCATTCTATATATATATATATATATATATATATGAAGAAGGCGTGTCCACGTGTGTTTCGAAACATATGTAGAATATAATATAACGTAACTGTAAAGAAACTCAAATACGTAAGATGTTGACTTTAGAAACACTAAAATTTATTAGGCGAATATTTCGGCTACTCCTGTAGTCTTTGT